GGGGGGGAGGAGAAAAGGGGGGGGGGGGGGAGATGGATGAGAATAAAAGGGAAAGACTTACCCAGATGAAAAGCAGACATTGTCCCCAGCAGGAGAAGGGACAGGATCAGGGGCTGTTTCATATCTACTTGATCTTGTAGTGGAGGCAATTCTGCCTTCGTCCTCACAACTGTCCTTTTTTGTGTCCAGCACAGCTTCTGGAACATGGTACTTGGTCAATTACCTGATTAAAGGAAGGGCCAGAGAGCCTCCTCTTCCCTCTTTCCCTCCTCCTCTGATGGACAGACCCTGAGCTGGAAATCTGAAACAGGAGTCGGGGTGGGCAAGATGGGCACCTGAGCTGCAAAGGTCTACTCCTAAGATCTCCATGACTGTCCTCTAGGACCACACTACCCAGATTCCAGACCTGCAGGGACAGTCAGCCCCTGGCCAGAGCTGACTTCACTTACATGGGGAAAGAAGAGGCAAAGACAGTAGTTGTGACGGGCTCCCCAGCTGTTTTGCTTGCTCATGTTACCTCCCTGACCCTGGCCCCGTGCAGCACTCACCTTATGAGGTTCTGTGGTCTCCACTCTCAGTGGCTGTGGCGAGCACACACTATCAGTCCTTATACTGGGTTTTGGAGGAAGTGGGAAGAGGCCAGGGTGATTGCTCCAGGCCAGGCTTGGGGATAATGAAACTGATAAAAAAAAAAAAAAACTGTTCAGTTTTTTTCACCCCAGACCCTGCTCTCTGTTAACAAGGCAGAGCCCTACCCTCTGGGGCCTGCTGCCCTAAGTAGAAGCCCATTGCTGCCAGCTTATTTGAGAGGTGTGTGTAACACCATGATGTAGTTTGTATTAATTACATCAACCAGATGTAATTAGTATTAATGCCCCTAAGGTGCCCAGCATGAATGATACCCCTTAATTCAGAAGCAGCCTTCTGAAGTCACTGTTCTGGAAAGTGATGTGCAAATCCTAGAAGCAGCTAGGAACCATGAAGAGGAGGAGGGGAGGGGGGCTCAGCATCCACATGAGGTGATTCACAAACAGCACACCCCTGGCCCACCTTCACCCATCTCCACTGAGACTATAGATATCCTGGCTTCACAAATGTAAACAATAGGATTCACAGAAGGAAAACTCGCCAAGCTTGTGTGATGTCCTGGCTAGTTTTTATATCAACTTGAAAAAAGCTAGAGTCATCTGAGAGGAGAGAAATTCATTTGAAAAATGCCTCCCTAAGATCAGGCTGCAGACACGCCTAGGAGCATTTTCTAGTGATTGATGGGGCAGGGTCCAATCTATTGTGAGTACTGCCATCCCTGGGCTGCTGGCCCTGGGTTCTATAAGAAAGCAGGCTGAGCAAGCCATGGGGTGCAAACCAGTAAGCAGCATCCCTCCATGGTCTCTGTATCAGCTCCTGTCCCCAGGTTCCTGTCCTGTTTGAGTTCCTGCCTTAACTGCTTTCAGTGATGAACAATTATATGGAAGTGTGCACTTTCCTCTTCAAGATGCTTTTGGTTATGATATGCTTTTGGTTATGGTGTTCCATCACAGCAATAGAAACCCTAAGATTCATAAGAAGTCAAGGAGCAGGGATTTCTAAGTCCTAAACATTCTCACATTCTCACACATTCTTCCTCCCTCTCCCTCTCTTTCTCCTTCCTTTCTTCCTCCCTCCCTTCCTCCGTCCCTTCCTGCTTCTTTCCCTCCCTCCCTCCTTCTCTTCCTCCCTCCCTCCCTCTTCACAAACCAGGCCCTTCCTGGTTCTCATGCCAGTTCCTGATTATTTGCCATCCCTAGAAAATACACACATAGTAGGCAACAGTCAAAACCATTTCCACACATTTCATTTCCTAATGGCCTTTGGATCATTTAGAGACCACTGGCCTAGACTATATCATTTCAACCATTTTGCCATTCCCACTCTCACTGACTACCTCCCACCAGCCCTCTGACATTATCAAGGTTAGGACTAGGATCAAGCAATGAAATGCTCATCTCAGACCACAAATTTAAGAACACACTAAAAAAAAACTTCAATATTAAACATAAGTAATATTTTAGTGCAAACTTTCTTAAAATCAAATTGAATGCAAATATATTCACAATGATTAATTTTATTTAAACAACCAAGCTCCATTTCATTCACTGTTGCCTAAAGAGAAAATAGTGCATGTATAGCCTTGGCTTTGCCACATCTTTCTGCCAAGAGCTTATGGATTGCTGGAAGTGAGGTTGATGCAATTTGGAGGTGTTCTGTTGGGCAGCACATACTTGTTATTTATATACTGGAACACACCTACAAAGAAGCAGATACAGGTCATCTAGAGGACCATATGGCCTGAATGCCCTGACTTCCTCTGCTCTCCCAATGGACCTATAATTGGAGAAGAAACTGAGAGGCCACTTCCTGGCCTGATTTCAGAGTAACGGTCTTAGCCCTTATCTCTCTGCCCAACAGACCAGACTGTCTGCTTATCTACCTAACAGTGGGAAGGTTGGTCAATTCCACTACCCAAAACTTAGTCTCTAAGTTTCAAGTTTGAGGTTGCACCAGAGAGAAAAGGAGAATCATAGTTACCCTTCCCTATTGCTCTCCTCACCCTGGGGCCCAGGACAGAGGTGACATTTCACTGGATGGCTGGGATGAGTCCCAGGGATTGTTGTTCTCATGAGCCAGTACCACCATAAGCCTTGCACACATAATTTCTCTTTACAAATCTCCAGGTGCTTAAAGGAGTTCCCCAAGATCCCATGGCAAGTCAGAGACCAGCCTAAAACCCAGAGTTTCATGCCCCTTATTCACCTCATCTTGGTCTTCCTCTCTTAGATGTCTGTCTTCTCTAACCTATTCACTCATTCACGTAAGTCCTGCTATGTGACTTATGTTAGGGGAAAAGGGCCATTCAAATGGCTTCAGTAACCTTGCTGATGGCCACAGTGACTCCTCTTTAATTAAAAACCAGAAGTAATACTTTTGAAGCTTTTCTCTAGACCAGGCACTATATTTCCATGAGGTTTTGGTTTTTTTTAACAACCATTTTACAACCATCCTAACAAATTATCCTACAAATTGGGTATTGCCACCTTAGCTTTACAAATTTACTGAAAAAAACTAATGGAGGTAAATGGCTATTCCAGTTGTCACAGCTCACAAGTCTTTGTTTCCATCCAAATGAGTTACCTTGACAATCTAGCTAATGTTGCCACTGCTTCCAAGTCTCAGGGTCACTGATTTCATTTATGTTCAAATCGGCCTCTTGTTCCAAGGCTCAGTCATACCCCGAATTACCCAGGGATAAGTTTCATCATGATGAGAAGCCAGCAACATATGTAATAAAGTCACAAGGCAACCACTCCAAACTGAGGACAGTGACAAGGTCTTCCTCTAAAGAAACCAGCCAGGGCAGAGCTGTCAGAGAACTACCTGGTGTGCGGAGCCAGAGTGTCCTTGTGAGATGAGGCACTTCAAGTTTCCCATGGTCCTTGTCAGGAAACTGCCCTTGTCAGTGAACAAGTGATGCACTGTACACTTGCTCAAGAGGCTGAGTGTCTACCCTATGCTTTGGATGTTACAGCCCCTCTGGACATCCCATCTAAAGGAATGATCCCTGCCGCATAGAGCTTGGTCATCTGGAAAGGAAGAATGTTCACACAAGCTATCCATTGGGATACTTTTTTTCCAGAAACAGGGTCTCATGTAGAACAGGCTGGCCTCAAACCCACCATGTAGCTGATGGTGATCTTGGACTTCTCATCCCCCTGCCTCCACCTCCCAAGTAGTAGAATTTCAAATGCGGGCCTCTACTCCTGTTCTATGAGGTATTGGGGGTAGATCCCAGGCCCCGATGCATGCTAGGAAGCACTCTGCCAACCATTCCACATCCCTAGACTTTACTTCAAAAATCAGTTTTATGTATTAATAATATATTCATCTTTCATGTGGGTTTCTAGATATTCATCTTGTCCTAAAACTCAGTCCAACTTCATATCACCCAAAGGTTGATCCTCAACACCGCGCGGTGACAAGGAATGAAATCACAAGGTCAAAGCAGCGTGTAGGCGCTCAGCCTCCTGAGCAAACACAGTGCATTGCTTATTCACTGGGAAGGGCACCTGAAGCATTTGTGAGTGAACTGGGCTGGAAAACTACAGTCATGGCAGCTATACAACTACAGCCAAAGCTATGCACAGAACATAGTAAAGTATGCTGGAGCTTCCTCCTGCCACCTCCTTGGCATTCTTTAAAGAGACTTCTATGCAGCAGGTATCACAAGGCCCTGTAAGAGAGCAATTTCTGAGAAGCAAGACAAAAGAAATCTACCTAATTCTCAGCCTGGAGTCCAGAATGTAGTAAAAGCCTAGAAAGCGGTAGGGAGTATCTTGTCTTATTCGTGCATTTATTTATTCATTCATTCATGTTAGTGCTGGAATCCTATTCAGGGCTGCACATGTGCTAGGCAGCTACTCTACCACAGAACTGTGGTCCCAGCCCCTCATCATCTTTATTATCAATATTAAAACAAAAAAAAAAGCTGTGTGGTTCCACAGCAGAGGAATAGCATCATTGAGGGCTCGTGGTGACAGCTCTGCCTCAGCTACATACTCATAGCACCCACCACAGAGCCAAATGCATGGAATTTCCAAAACTCACCATATATAAAATCAACAGCTCACATGGCACAGTGGCGGCAGGAACCAAAGTGTGGCTCTGTCTCTTTTTTAGCCTACAGAGTAACTAACCTTGAACAAATAGCCCCCTCACAGATCTTCTTTTGCTTCCCCTCCTGGGACCCATATAGAATTGGAAACCCCCTGAAAGAAAAGGGTTCAGGCCACTGAGCCCTTTTGTCCTGCTTATCTGCCTGGTAATATTAAAGCAGCTCTACCCCATCTTTAACTGGGCTTCTTTGCTCCTAGATGGGTTGAGTTTTATGTCCCAAGGTCAAGAGCGGAGGAATTCAGTCAAGACTTCCAAGCATGGAAACGACAAAGGAGCGGGCTTTGGAACTAAGAAAGTCAAATCTCGGCACCGGCAACATCCAGATGTTCTATCTTGAGCAAGTCTTTCCTCATCCAAGTATAACTTCTCCGAGCCTGTTTCTGCATAGCGGAGATAATGATGATGGATGGTGTAGTGTGATCTGTGCAAGGCATTTGCCACAGCAGGTGAGGGCTCAATAATTGGTAACAACTGGCACGTGTTCTCTCTCTCTCTCTCTCTCTCTCTCTCTCTCTCTCTCTGTGTGTGTGTGTGTGTGTGTGTGTGTGTGTCTCTCTCTCTCTCTCTCATACACACACACACACACACACACACACACGTGTTTTAGATTCCCAGACCTCATTGAGAGTCTGACTCATAATAAAGAGTTTAATACTGGGCTTTTTCCAAAGCAGAACCTGAGACAAGGACTTGAGTACACATCCTATAGTTAATTTGGGGAAGTGCAGAAACATTGCTAGAGGAAGAAAGGACTCATCTGGGGGTGAGAGAAGTAGCCAATAAAATACATGCTGTAATGCCAGCCACTTTAATAGGTAACAGAGAAATGGTGCCTCGTTCATGCTGTGTGTTTGTCCTACTTGATAGATGTGATGGTGAATATTGATCGTTAACTTGATAGGTTTTGCAGTTACCTAGGAGACAAGCCTCTGGCTATGCCTGGGAGGGGTTATCTTGATTAGGGTAATTGAGGTGTGAAGACGCATCATGCCCTGGGATTGGATCCTAGGTTATTGGAAGAAGTTAGCTGCATGTGAACTCCTAACTATGGATACCTGCCTTGAGTTCCTCCACCAGAACTTCCCTACCATAGCAGACAGTACCCTTGACCTGTAAACGCAAATAAACTGTGTCTCCCTGAGTCAGATACTTTGCCACCGTAACACGAAAAGCAGCTAATGCAGTGGGAAGGAGCCCTGGTAGGTGAGAGTCTACCCAAACCTTCACGTGTCTGGAAGCTGTTGGCGGGGTCCTGACAATACCTGTACACACGTGCTATGTAATTGTGTCTTCCACCAGCACTTTAGAGCCACCTGCACAAGTTTCCCTATTGCCAGGATGCTTCATAAACCCCACAGCACCATCATTTCTTGAAGCATGCTAACTTTATGGCTCCTTCATGAAAGGCATGGAGCTCAAATGAGCCTGAGCTACCAATGACCACAGGAGAAAAGGAATCTATTCAATAAAGCGGCTTTATTGTAGGGAGGTGAAAGATGGAGACATTTTGCTGGAAAGGAGAGGCGGTTACCCAGGAGAGGATGAATTTAAACTCCTGGCTGGGACGAGCTCAATACGAACAGATGAAGGGACGTCTCTGGGCACAGTGAGACCGACGCCAGTGGCCTCCTGTGAAAGGAGAATAGGAGAACTTCATTACTTTGTCTACCCTCACATGACAGCAGGAAGATCGTAGTTCCCACCAGCTCTATAACTCATCTAGAAAGCTTCTCACTGAGTGGCCAGACTCACTTCCTGGCACTCTTCCTGAGTCTCCCTCGCCTTCCCTTCGTTCATCTCCAGCCAGCCTCACCTTGAGTACACAGGGTCACACATCTGCCACCTCCAGGGCGGGGCTGGCCAGCTGCCCAATATGCAAAGTTCCAAGAGCTTCCATCAACCCATTGAAAGCGTTTGCAGCGGCCCTAGAGAAGGTAGAAGGCAAAGGGATAGAGTGGAGGGAAGGAGGGTGGTGGAGCCAGCACTATCCCTATTAACCCCTAAGGTCCTGGACCACAGGTCCATAATGGATACTGGCCAGCTGAACTACTGGTCCACAGTAATCATCACCACCCCATTCTCCATATCTCTGCATCTCTATAATATGATCATCCTGTTTGCAACCTAGAGGTAAGGAAACAACCCCAGATCACAAAGATAGACAAGAGAAGTTGGGAGAAACTTGAACTCAGCCCCAGTTCTAAATCCTTGGTGGCACCTCAGTGTCTTGTATGAGTGGCCTTCTGTCCCCAGCTCTTCAGGGGACAGTAAAAGGGAAAGACAGACAAAACTGTAGCAAGGTTGATACTGGATGGGTTCAAGAGCTGCTCCCTTTTAGTTCTGGTATCTCTCTTACCCAGCCCACGATTCTGCCTCCAATCCAGACTTGACCCTGGTTGAATCCCCTGACAGTGGAATAGATTTGGAAGTTAACGCTGAAGCTGTGGATGGAGGCAAGGGTGCCCCGGTAGCAGCGCTGGCAAACTGACTGCAGAACAAAACAAAAGAGGAAGAAAGGAATGTCCATCACCCCCTTGGCAAGAGTTCCCATGGTCACAGTCATGGTCCCCAAGTCTCCAAAATCCATCCCCTTCCTCCCTCCTACCCTCTGTCCTTTCTTCTTACCGTCTTTCCCCTCCCTCCACAGCTGTAGCCATGAGAAAACAGGAGAGCAAAGTACAGCATGTTTCCACGTGACCTCCTCCCCACTCAGCATCTCTGAAGCTTCCCCCTCTGCTAATGCTCCCCCACAGCCCACAGAGAGAGCAAGCATTAATGCAGGAAGTGGAGACATGTCTCCTGGCTGATACCCTCTCAGTCTCAGCCGCAGGCCACTTACCTGAGCATTGCCAAAAGGTCGAGGGTTCCTCACCAGCAAGAAGCGACAGGTCTTACATCCAGGGTTGCCAGGCAGACTCATTGTGTCCTCTGCCCTGGGACACTGAAGGTCTTCATCTGTCATATCCTGGCCCGAGACAGCTCCCTCATCCCCAGAACCTTCCTCTTCCTCCAGCGGTATTAGCTCCTCCCCAGGAGGACACTCTTCTACTTCTGGTCTTGAAAGCTCCACATCCCTAGGTAAGTTCTCATCTCTCGGTGAGCTTTTGAAGTCAGAAGTTTCAGACCCTGGCAAGTAGAAAATTCAAGTGTCCTTTTTTCCCACACATTCCCCTACTCTCTCCCCAATACAATGGGCATCTCTTGCCCCACTCCCTGAACACCAGTGTGAAAACCCTGACTGAAAAGAAAGGAGGTCAAGATGGCTAACCATAGTAGCTTAGAGCCCAGTCTTTGTGGGTCTGGGTCCTGTACTCAGCAACTATCAGCTTTATTTCTTTGTTTGTGAAATTGTATACAATCCCGGGTACTTCATGAGGGTGCTCTGGGGGATCAAAGGACATAACATGCAGAGAAAATGCTCTGGAAACTCAAAGGAAAAAAGAAGCCCTTCTTACTATGAGCATCGTTAGAATTATGGAGAAAGGACAAAATTGGAAATGCCACAAAAGAATCAAGGCTACAGACTTAATAGATCAGAGTCCCCACACCCCTAATGTACAGGAATTCTGAACTTGGGAATGATCAGTGTCGGTACTGGTTATGTGATTCAGACCTCATCTATTATACACAGGAACAAAAGAGGGAGAGAGAGGCTGAAGGAACTGATGACTCACTCAGATGAAGAGCAGATGCTCCCCCGACTAGAAGAGCCAGAAGTAAAGGGAATTTCATCTTGGTTTTGTCCTGGAATAGAGAACACAGATGTTACACACACAGACACACACATACACACACATACACACACACACACACACACACACACACACACACACACACACACACACACACCACAGCCAGACTGTTTTGGACCCATGGGAAGGGAGTATAGAAAAAGAAGGCAAGAATTTAGGATGAGCCAGGAAAGCTAAGGCGGAGCCTAGCCCATGCTGTTTCAAGGAACTCATTTGTTTTGCTTTACTAATGACAAGGTTTCATGTAGCCTAGGTAGCCTGGAACTCAATATGTAGCTGAGGATGCTGTAGAATTCCTGACTATCCTGTCTCTGCTTCCCAAGTGCTGAGATTAAGGAATGTACCATCATACCTGGTTTATGTTTTGTTGGGAATAGAACCCAGGGCTTGGTGCATGCTGGAAAGGCACCCTACCAACTGAGCCCCAGCCCCAGCTCCAGAAGTCCTTTCTGAACAAAATGAAGCAGACCATAAGGAGCAGCTCAGACAAGCTTTCCTGTACACCCGTAAGTAAAATTAATTAATTATTTATTTATCCATTTACAGTGATGAGCTTGTCAATGCCTGCAATATGAGCAAATGCAGGAGCAGTGGTCGTTGACCTTGCTAGGAATGCACAGCACTTAAAACGTGGGTTCCTTTCCCTAAGCCAGATATGATTTTCCTTTCCTTACCCTTGCCTGTCACTCAGAAGCAATGCTCATTGCACTAGCACCAACACAGGCTGAAAGCCACATGAAGCCCTGTCAGACTTCTAGAGAGCTCAGCCTAGGTCAGAGGCCTCCCCAGAGGCTGGCCATCCCCAGTAGAGAAAACACTTACAGGCCTTCCTGGGTTCTGTCCACTTCGAAAAGCTGGGTCCTCCTTCACCCCATCTCACAGTGGCATTTATAGGGATACCTTAGAGGAAGTCTCCTGAACAAAGGTGGGTTTGTCTCATCCAGAGGGGGAGGGTGGACTGATAAGAGCCCTTTCTTCACTTCTCTGAGGAGTCTACTCCTTAGCCACCACACGTGGGGGAGGGGAGCCTTGAGTTCTTGTTCTGAGCTAAGAGTTCTTACTCTGAGCTCCATTTCTGACTCTCCATGGAAGCTTCCCCCAAGTCATGCTTTTCTTACTTTACCTAAGGCATTGGAGGAAGCATTTTCATTATCTGTTAGAGTTAAATATTCACTTCTGACCAGTTTCCCTCTTTGTAGACTGTTGTTTTAGACAGACAAGCACCCGTATGTAGGAAAACTTTTACCAAGTTGTTTATTGGTTGATTGGTTGATCAAAACAACTGGGCTACTACCCACAGGACAGTGACTAAAATGTGTCACATCTCTTCTAGAAAGTGTCCTTTAGCTATACCTGTGCCTCTGATCCTGAGTGCCAAATCAGGAAGGGAACATAGCAAGACAGACAGGAAAATATTGGAGAGGTTTTTGTTTGTGTTTCTCTGTCTCTTCATTGGCTCTGTTTGCCTCTTTGTTTTTTACTTTTTGTTTTTGAGACAGGGTCTTGTCATGTGGTCCTGGCTGACCTGATACTCACTATATAGCTCAGGCTGTTCTGAAACTTGTGGTAATCCTCCTGTCTCAGCTTCTCTAGTGCTGGGACTGTGGGCATGTGCTACCACCACACCCAGCAAGAAAAGAAAATATTCAGTGTGAAAACACAATTTTACAAGAAAAAACCTTGGGCAGCTTCTTCCTGTGAGTTATCATGGAGACCATATTTAGATGTGTAAAGAGTTCACACCAGCCTGACGACCTCGGTGGCCTCCATGAGTGAGAAGGGAAGTCACTGTTCCTTCTTTTATTATCTACATGTCTTCAGGGATTACAGTCTGTGTGCAAAAATCTGTAATTTGAAGAGAGACTTTATTAAAGATGTTTTTAAAACATGTAAGACCCTACCTGGGAAATTCTGATTGGTTAGTTTTTCTGGAGTAGAAAGCAGAGATCTGCGTTTAATGTGTGCAAGTTCTGGGGGTAAAAATGGGCCTGGAAATCCCTGAGCTGAGGAGCTCAGTGAACCGGGAGTATTTTAACGCACCCTCAGAATTAGAGCCCTTGGCTGGCCAATCTACCGCCTTCATAATCATAAAGTTTTCTGTACGTGCTTCAATACTGTGTGTGGAATATCACCTCACTTAATCTTTGTGTGCAGTATATGCATGTACATATGTTCATAAGTGTACACATGTGTGTACATGTGTGCTCTACCTTATTTTTTGAATCAAGGTCACTCACTAAGTCTGACACTCGTAAGTGGGCTAGACTAGCAGGCCAGGAGCTCTGAGGAACTGATCCCACATTCCTCTCTCCTGCACAGCATTGGGGTTACGTCTGTGTGCTGTTTTGGTTTGGTTTTGCTTTGCTTTTTTCTAAACCCAATCCAAACATAGGTCCCCATAGATGTGCTGCAAGCACCCTACCCACAGAGTCATCATCCCAGCCCTAATCCTTTAATAAAGAGGAAGAGAGCTAGTGATTATCCCTTCATCTATATATCCACACATCCACACATGTACACATACAAACATATATGCACTCAGACATACAAAAAAGGGTGTGGAAGAAACCAATGTCTACATCAGTGCCAAGGACATAAATTAGACTGGCTGATACCCATGATGCAGGGGTGGGGGGGGTGCTTTTCCAAGCCCTTTGAGCAGAACATTCTCTTCCTGAATCACAAGCTACAATATGATCAACTGGCTTGTGGTTTGCAAGAGCACACACAGAACCGGAGGGCTTGGAGGCCAAAGTCTTCCAGCAAGAGGCTTTGATGACCATCATGAAACTCTGATTTGCTTCCTTCCCCAAGAAGTGGTAGATCTTTGCAGAGTTCTGAGACTTTGGAGTTCCTGTTTCAGGCCTCAAAGTTACCTTAGAACTTATATACGTTGGGAAGAACTGAATGTCCCAAAGCATACCCAGTCCCCATCTGAACGTCAGTACCCCATGTAGAGCCTTTAAAGACAGCCCTTGCATTTAGCCTCATAATGTCTTCTAGAGAACAGTATACCTTCAGGCTTAGCACCTCCAGTGTCAACAAGCAGACCAGATAGTGAAGGCTCTGCTCTGATACATTGTGGGCTATTGCTATTGCCATATGTGTACCAGACACTGAATAAAAGACACCTTAGCCACTGTGCTCAACAGTAAGCAATTGGCCTACCTCCCTTTCACCCTCATCCCCCAACCACACAATAGCTTAAAAGTGCAGCTCCAGATACTAGCGCACATTGTATCTCAATCAGCATCATCATCATGCCTCTGCTGTCCCAGTACTGAATAATGTTCAAGGAGCCATTAAGTGTACAATCGTAGATAATTTGTGTGTGATGTTTCTAGAGCAGGGATCTAAATCACTAGTGAGGTTCTTTTATGACCTATCAGAAGTCTAAAAAAAAAAAAAAAACTAACTTTATTGAATGATTTGTTCCTCAAGAACCAGAAATGACTTTCCAGGTTCCTGTGAAGGAATCCTATGATTCTCTCTAAAAGTCTTCACCATTCCTGCCTCCTAGTATGTATATTCTACGTAATCCTTGGGACTATATGTGGACTTTCTTCCTGTGGTTGTGTTATAAATTTCTACAGCACAATTAATTTTAAGGTTGGGATAGGGATGGGATTGTGGCTCAGTGGTGCCGAGCATTTATGAGGTCCTGGGTTCAATTCCCAACATTAAAGGATAGGAGGGAGGGAAGGAGGGAGGGAGGGAGGGAGGTGTAGGAAAGGAGCATGGAGGAGAGGAGACCCAAAGAGATGAGAGGAGAAAAACCAGATGGGAGGAGAGAGAAAATGGAGGAAAGGAGGGACAGGAAGACAGAGAATGACTAAGTGGGGAGAATCGGCCTAATCAAATGAAGCATTAAAAGCAACTCAGCTCTTCCTGAAATCACAGATCCCAAGTGTTAGGATATTCAACCCAAGGACCTATTGCTGGCTTTTAGAGTGGAGGACATCATGACAAAAACTGTGAGCAGTCTTGAGAACCTAACAGAGGCCCCTTTTTGCAGCCAGTAAGGAATCAGGAACCTCAGTGCCATACCCACAAGAAACAGAATTTTACTACAACCTTATGAGCTCAGAAATGTGGTCAAGCAACATTTTGATTTCAGCCTTAAGAGTCTCCAAAGAGAAACCCCAGCCATGCCATGCTCATATCTCTGATCTACTGAACTGTGCTGATAAATGCTATGGCCTGACATTGCTAAATGTGTAGCAATATGTCCTGTGGCATGGATGACTAACAGCCTCAGGCCCATCTCCCTGCCAGTTGGTGTACTTAGTAGAGGGAGTGGCATGGACAATTGTCCTGAGAAATGGGCCTGAGGACCTGCTAGAATAGAACGCAAGGACAGAAGAGCAGGCAATGGACAAGAGAGTCCCTTCAGACCTTAAAAAGACTGTAGTAGCTTCTTATAGACTCAAGTTCTGCTCAATTGGACTCCCCAGCCTCATAAAAAAGATGGAGTCTGAATCTGACCAACCGCCTGCTGGCTGGGCTTGGCCAACATTCTTGTGGGTCAGATAAAAGGTGGTGCAAGGGCCAACAGAGTCCCAGTGGCGAGTGGCCCAAGAGATAGGGATGAAGCCGTTTCTCTGTGAAACCAGTTTTGACAACAGCTTCCCTGGCACTTCCTCATTTAGATGCCCCAACAGTTGTTATAGATTAAGATGTCCCGAATTCCAGAGCTGTAAGAGATGAGCCAGTCCAGCCTGTAAGTGTCTAATGTGGAAAGGCCAGGTATCCCGATTCCTTCCTGCTCCCTCTCCTTCTCAGCTGCAGCCTCACAGGCCCAAGCCACCATGACTGGTGATATGCAAAACCCATCATGTCCACGCTTCCCATTAAAAGTCTCTCTGCTCACATGCAAGTTACTTGACCTCATTGCTGCTGCTTGCAAAGCTGTCCACTGACAGGGTCCTATACACTGATCCAACTTCACTAGAGCGATAGACCCTCATCATATTGATCCCAGCTTCTCTGACCAAGCT